ATCTCCCTTCTTCTCCTCTCTCCCCTTTCGGCCTTCACCGTCTCGAGCCACACGCCCATTGTGTCGAAGACTAAAGAATAGCATTAGGGTTCATTTAACCCTATTAACCAAAACTCACCGTTTTGGTTCGGGATTAAAATCCCGCTTGGTTTCATGCGAGACTAAAGTCTCCCTTTGAAGTGGAGTCTTCTCTTTCTCACCAAAGACGTGGGCCAAGCCCAACAGATGATCAAACGCATGCCGCTTGAACCACATCACCTTGCAAACTTGTGTCAATCATAACTAAAAAAAATCAAACAAACGACTGCGCTGCAACTTTGGCACCACGCACAAAAGAATCGTTTGATGATAACAAAAAAAGGGACGACAATCGCGGTGCAGAAAGAAGTCTCGAGAATAACTCTGATTCATCCGAGATTCACTACAAGAAACATTAAAATTTGCGACAGAAAAATCTGTCGCAGATACAAAAGAATATCTGTCGCAATTACAAATTTGCGACAGATTGCGACAGAATCAATTCTGTCCGTATATTGTTGTCGCAAAAGTTTGCCGGTCGTTAATCTGTCGCAAAGTTGCGACGGACAAAATCCGAGTTTTGCTACAGATTTGCGACAGAAAAATCTGTCGCAAATATATTTTTTAATATTTTTAAAAAAATAAAAAAAAAATCTACGTTTTACGGATTTGCGACAGAAAAATCCGTCGCAAATATTTTTTTTAATTTAAAAAAAATATAAAAAATATATTATACATATACACACATATATGCATACATTACATATATACATATAAATTTATATATATACACATACATATATACATTTACATATAGACATATATATACATACACATATACACATACATAAACACACATTCATACATATATATACACACATAAATTTACATACACATACATATATATTACACATATGCACATAATTATACATATACACATAAATTTATATACATATATATATACATACACATATATTCATATACATACATTTACATATACACATATATACATATACACACACATACATAAACACACATTCATACACAAAATTTACATACACATATACATATACATTACACACATACATAAACACACATTCATACATATACACATATACACATACACATACATATATATATATATTCACATACACATCACATAAACATACATAAACATTTATATATATGCATACACATTCACATTCATATTCACATTCACATACATACACAACACACATACATAAACACACACACATACACATACATACATAAACACATACACATTCGCATACACATATACATACACACATACACATAACATATTCACATTCACATATATATATATATACACAACACATACATATACAAATCCATATACACGATATATATACACATACCTTGGCGAATTTTGAAGAAAAACAATTTGTTGGAGAAGATTGGAGAAGATTGAGATTTTTTTT